CTTCAAAAAATCACAAAAACAACATAACAGATGGCAAGTATTACAGCAATAGAACAAAAAAGAAGGGGGGAAGTCTACGCATGTGCCTCGTCATTGGCAGGAACGGTGCCTTCGGTTGGTTGGGCCTCGGCAGGAGCGTCAGGGATCACTTCCAGTCCCTCGACATCAAAGTCTGGCAGCACCAGCAGGAGTGCCGTCGAGGTAGGACGATGAAGCATACTCCGCTAGCACATCCAGGTAGTCGGAAGACTTCTTGTACACCTCCACTGCCTCGGCCGCTGCCTTCTTTGACTCCTCTGCCGAAGCCCTAGCTTCGGCAGCTTTCGCCTCTACCTCGGGAGCTCTCTTTTCAGCCTCGGTGGCTCGTCTCTTCGCCTCAGTGATGATGCTCTCTAGCTACACCCGCTCCCTTTGCTCTTTGGAGAGCCCTTGCTGAGCCTCAAGGCGATCCCAAAGCGATTATCGTCCAAAAGCGCCTTTCAAAATTTCTGGTGCTTCTCGATGGTGACAGCTAACTTCTGGAGCTTCTCCCATTCCCTTTGGAACTTCTCCGCGGCCTTCTTCTCCTTCTCGGCTTTGTCGGCGCGACCCTGTTTGGTCCCCCAAACTGTCGAAGTGCTGCTGCCACAAAACCAGTCAGCGAAAATAAAAAATAAAAACATATACATGATGAAATATTAAAGAACGTCTTACCTCAGCCAAGTGGTACAGGCCCTCGTCATAAATAGACTTGGGGTCGCTTTGCAGAAGGCAGTAGCAATCCCTCGGCAGGATGGATCCACTAACTAGCTCCTGGCTGACCCCCTTGTCACGGATAGAGTCCCCCTCTTAGAGCTGCCATTGGGGGCGAAAAGTCTTACCAGCCCCTTCGGTCCTCTCGGAGGCGTCTTGTACCGATGGAGGGGCTGACGAAGGCCCGGATGGGCACTCCCCAGGCGCGGACCTCCACACCACCTCCTCGGCTTGCCTATCCGTGTAGGCAAGCTTCTGTGGGGGCTCCTCCCTCGGTGTAGTGGCAGACCTCTTTTTTCCCGCCTCGAGCCCCTCCATGGGCCTCTTCGACGCCTCTTCCCGGGTAGTGGGCTTCTTCAGCACCTCTCCCCCAGTGGTGGGCTTCTTCGACACCTCCACCGTCTTCTTTGATGCCACCATCAACTGCTTCCCTGTGGCAGGTACTTGCGAATCTCCCCCCTTCACCGGGGCAGGGGGCAGCTTCGTCGTCGGGCCTCTTTGGCATCTATCCTCCGGCCTTCTTCCCGATCTGCTTCGCCCGAGTCTTCACCAACAAGCATTCCTTGACGTCCATTGGCACTTCTGTGAAACAGCAAAGGAAAGCAATTAGCACATCAGTAAAAAGAAAAAAAAAAAAGAACGTGGAAGACGCGCTAACCACAGAACCTCTCCTATTGAGGGAGGCTAGGCTAATCCCGATGAAGACTAGAGGGACCTCCTCCTCCACCAACGGCTTCACTTGGAATGTCCCGGTCACAAGTAGATGAGCTACTGCAGCAGCCTCTTTGTCTCAGAGCGGTGGGGGACATCTTTCAACGATGACGCGGGCCTCGCCCCAGTCGGACCTGAAGCGGCAGCCCACAGAGTAGGAGACGTAGAACTTGTCCTTCCACCCATGAACGGACGAGGGGTTGTGCACTGGCTTCCCTCTCCTCGGGTGGAAGTAGTACATGTTGAACACGGAAGCATGCTTCCTCAGCACGAACATGGCGTGAAACAGTCTCAACGTCAGCTCCACACCCTTGAGCTGAGCCCATATCATCATCGCCACGATGGTCCGGAGGGCATTGGGCACGAGCTGGCTGATAGTGATGGCGTACCACTCTAGCAGCTCCGAGATCAAGGTTGGGAGGGGAAACCTAAGGCCAGACTCTAAAAAATGCTGGTAAATACAGATTTCCCCCTCCTCGGGGTTCCACGGCCTATCGCCCACATCGGGGACCCTCGGGCTGTAAGACCAGGGTATATGGAACCTCTTCGCCAGGGGTTTGACCTGGCACACATCCAAGGAGCTATCTCATCTCCGAACATGGGACACCCGCATCAGCCACCCTTCGGGCAGCACTCCCTCCTACTAGTCCGGCGACAAGTTCCACAGCATCACCCTCGGAGAGAGGAGACCCCTCAAGCTCCCTCGGTGACGTCAAGGCGACGCTTTCATGGGGAGAGTCATTTCCCCGGTGACTGCCCTCGGCACCCCCCGAGGCTAACCTCTCCCTCAAAACGGCCACCTCCCGTCAATGGGGGACTACAACTAAAGAACCTAGAGAAGACAAGGGAGAGGGAGTTGTAGGAGAGCTCCCTCCCGAGATGTTCAGAAGTTCATGGCACTCGGGACCAGAGTCTGAAAACGACATGTTAAGATTACCTAAAATAGGGTGGAATGTCCCGAAGAAGGGAAGAAGTAAAAAAGTCACTATCAGGGCCCCTATTTAAAGGAAAATGAACGGCCTAGATTTCTCTAAATCCGACGGCTGAAACTAATCTGCTGCTACCATCCAACTATGATGCGCCACCTAGCGCAGGCCCTCGGAAGACGAAACGACGCCCGAAGCAACAGTTCAGATCGGTGCAAATCCAACGGATGCAAGAGCACCCCGCTCCTACGAACCAGCCTCACCACACCTCCTAGCACATGCCCTCGAAAGGCGAAACGACGCCAGGTGGACCGCGAAGATCACCCGCGGAAACCCACCGAACGAACCGAAAGGCTCGCTCATCACGAACCGCCAGGCAGACCGTTCAACCCGGCAAATACAGGACTCCTAAGACGATCATCCCCCGCACGGAAGCCCCGCTAGCGTGACCTGCTCGTGCGGGATACGGGACACCCCCACCAAGCCGAGGCATCCACACCGCTCGCACTTCCGAACCAAAGAGTGGCGGCACGAACGGCGAAGACAACACCATTGCATGACACCCCTTTGCCAATGAATCCGAAGGCATAATGACCACTACTCCCAATGACCGAAGCTGAAGCCTCACTTCGATTATTACCCTCATTACGAACAAAAGCCGAGGCCTCACCTCGGTCTCAGGAGTGGGGGGCAAGTAATGTGGGTTAGCTTGGCCTAGCCCACATAGGGCTGGGAGGCCCAACCCACTAAGGTCTGCTAACGTCAGCGACAGTAGGAAGAAACCCTGCTGCCTTCGTACGGAGCCAATCACATAACTATCTGGCGTACCACTAGGGCCTGTAGCCTGACCTCGTACGGCTCTCATCCGAGGCGTTCATTTTCACCTACCACCAGCATGCTCAAGTATAAATAAGAGGTATTGCCCCTTAAAAGGGGCTAGAACAGAGCAACTCCAACATCACTAAATCATTTACTTCTTGTACCTACGTTGTCTACCTAGCATTAATTAAGGGAAATTTGGTGCATCCGAAGACTCTCTCTAGGAGCACTTTTACACTCCCCCCTGCTTCATACCTCGTACTAACTTGAGCGTCGGAGCCTTTGCCTCGGGTATCCACCCCGAGGTCTCTGACACTCCCTGTCTTGCAGTATCTTAGATCACCAAGGACTTCACCTCGACCCGCAAACCTCGGCTACCATAGTCCTCTCGGTTTGCTGTCCTCGCCTTCGGTCAACCTCTTCCGACGCCCCAAGGTCCTCGGCTACCGCTCGAAACTCGACGAGTGAATTTATCTTGTTGCCCTCGGCTAACCCGCGCAGCAACAATATGCATCATATTCATGAAAAGGAGAAAAATGAAGCATCTAGGACAATAAGGCATGATGGTAACCATATTCCAAAATCCAAATATTTAGGTAGGTCAAAAAAAGAGATATTTATCAGCTGCCCATTACTTTTCAAGTATTCAAAGCTCAGCCTTAGAGCATGTATCCAACAAGATGGAAGCATTTACAGCTTGAGAAGTGTGTCATACTTTCTCTTTCTTTCTCTCTTTAGTTTATTTGTTTATTTTTAATAATCAACAAAATGAATTTGTCAATTACTAATTAAAAAATGTGCAGTCATTTTTTTGAGACAAGGTTAACCAAAATTTGCAGTCATTTTAAAGGAAGCCTTGCCATCCAAAGTTGGATAGCAGGTGCAAAACAAATATGGAAGCAAGCTGACCAGGCTTTCTCAAGTGTAGTCAGTAAAAAGCTTTTACAATGTGATCCCAAGTCCCAGACAACCCCAGTCTAAAGATTGCCTTGATGTTCCTGATTTGTCTAGGTCATCAGCCATCTCATAAGCACTCCTCAGAGTCCATCCAAACAAGCAAACTTCTTCCCAAGGGTTGAGCCTCCCTAACTGAGAATCTGAATTTCCATAGTACCTCCTTTCCCGTGCAAAGCCAAGAGGTTACCACTTTTCAGTCTCCTTCTACAATTAAATTCTTCCAGTTAACCACTGGCAAGCTTTAACCCTTGTATTCCACCACCAATTCTGCCCCTAGGGGGTTACCAAGCCCTACTGGACAAGAGAAGTTAAGCCTTAAATGGCCTTATTCATCCCTAATCACCCCACTGATACCTGAAACACCATGAGATTACCAATGATACATCTATCATAATTTAATTTTAGTCCACCAACTTATGGAGGAATCCAATTTTCACTTTTTTTTTTGTCTTCTTGACACTTCTGCTGTAATCGGGCCATCTTCTCATTAAATCATTCGTTTTGACCCCTTTAAAGCTCATCAATAACCAGGGCCAAATGTGCTATTTTCAATTTTACCCTTTCTGGAACTACTCTCACATTCAAATAGACTTAGTAATCCTCTTTGAAAGCCATTACACATAATTCATACCAGCACTATAAGTGAAAACTATGAAACTGAAATGGTTATAACTTGGCAAAGTCTCTTACACTTCACCAAGCTAGATGCTCTAATTAAAAGAACAGAAAAGTGAACAATGAGAGTTGAAGTAATGTAGTGGTTGACATAATGGGTATTAAAATCTCTCCTCACAGGTGGGAGTAAGGACAATACCAGATTCACAAGGAGTCGCATTAAAGCACCATAGCACCTACCTCAAGTGCTTTCGCATAGGAATTTATAAAAAGCTGAGCCTTTCCGGCTATTGTCCGTGCATGCTGCCTCAAGTACCGACTTAACTCCATCTGCCAAAAGAATAAAAGATTCAATCTGCAAGTCCTCAATCATCCACATAACTACCAAACTAAGTGCCTAAAAAGTAATGGAATGTTATATACATCTATGGCGCCGCCACCAGGAACAACAGTAGAGTTCTTTATAGCCCTTCTTACTATCATAATGGCATCATGTAGACTCCGCTCAGCTTCCTCAATGAACTGGAAAATGATGAAAATCAGATATCTCAATCAACATCAACAAGGTGGAGACTGCAGGCACTATAAGGTGTTGTTTCAAAAATATTAACAGACCTGATCAGCTCCACCACGAAGAACAATAGTCGCTGTCTGACCAGATGGGCATCCACTGAATATATTAAATCGCTCATTTCCAACTTGCCTTTCCTCAAAGAGCTCACAGGACCCCAGAACCTTTACAATCAATTCTCACATTTCAGTTGGAATGAAATGAAAGAAAAATAAGATGCTTAGAAAACCTAGTAGAAAGAAAATGTTCAATTTGAAGCTCAAAAGTGATACATTTTACTTTCATATATTCATGCCGTTACTGAAAACATAGCTTGGGGATTAAAATAATAATATCAAGGTCAAGGAAAGACAAGACAGAAACCTCATCAATGATGTTGTTAACAGAAGTCTGTACAGTTCCACCAGTTGCTGCAGCAACACGTTGCAGATCCTCCTCAGTTACACGACCGGCACAGAAAATATCTCGGTCTGCAAAATACTGCAAAGAAAACCAACATGATATTTTCACCTGACATAACACCTATCCTTTGCACGTTTTTAGGATGCTTACAAATCAACCTCTGTTAACTTGGAAAATTAGCTAAATATTTCAATCCTGATTCAGTTTACCGCAATATTTATCAGCAATCAAAAAATGAAAAGTAAATAAATAAATTAGGGAAGAAATCAAATGAAAGCATAAACTGAAAATAAAACATGTCCATTGTTAAAATTAGTTTCAAGGATTCCTGACAACTATTTAAGATTGTTACAAATAAGTTGCAAAATATTGATATACTTACCTTTTTGCAAATAATAATAATAATAACAACAACATTTCTATTGTTTTTTTAATCTCAAAAACAAATATTGGAATTCAACTGCACATGAGATACTTCGCAGAGTCAGGAAAAGTTACCTGTGTTGCCAAATCACCAATTGCCAGCCTTGAGAGTACAATTTTAGCCCCACTCTGCACACACTTATCCAACTTGTCATAGATTATATTCCATTCAGCATCAACAATTGATTGATACTGTAAAGGGTCTGAGAGTCTGCAAGATGCAAAAACAATCCAGAACAATTAGATAGAAACAATTCCTTGGATCAAATGCAACCGGAGAGGAACCACAAAACCCCACCTTATCTCTGCATTTTCCTTCTCGGACTTTAGCTCCAATTCAACATTCAACAACAGTATCTTTGGATTTAGAAACTTCTTTGGTTGCTGCTCAAAACCAGCATAAGAAAACGTCTTTTTGAAGGCGACACCTTTTACAAGAAAAGAGTCTCGCATGTTACCCCCTGGAACCTACAGTAGAAAACAAAATTAGTAAATGTTTTGACTCCAAATCAACTTTTTCAAGTCAGTAAAGACACTTCCAGAATCTCATCAATTACAAGAGAACATATAAACATTAAAAAGTCACCCTCAGAAACAAAAAAAAAGGAACCACCTGTCAGCCAACTAGGTCAGATGGATGAAAACTTAAAAACCTAAATAACCAACCCCCCACAATTGAACCAATAAACTATGCAAACCAAGTGCTCCAATAAATTTTATTATATATGTTATTATATACACATGTGTTTCTTTCAAGAGCTGCAACCCCCCCGCCTGATTTTTTATCAGTAATGGTTAGTTTATTGCTTAATGAAAAAAGAATGATATTTGTACAAGAATGTGCCTAACACCCTTAAAATACATTTTGCTGCTACTCATCATCAATTTCATTTTGTTTCAAATAGTCACAAACTTCCCCCTTGGGAACCATCAGTTCATCTATGTTTCCATATGAAAGATGTTCCCAGCTCCAACAAAAACCTCTTAACTTCTCTTGTATCATGCCTGTAAAGCCATTGACCTGTAATGGCTTATTTGAACCATCCCACTACCACTTTAGAGTCATTTCCCACCACCAGATTGCTTAACTATAAGAGCTTCTCCAACCTCAGTCTTTGCAGACCCACCAAATTCTGCCCAAAGGGAATCCCCAATTCCATTAGGGATAGATAATAACACTAGGATACTACCCTCCATGTCTTTAAACACACCACTGTTTCCAACTCATGGCTGAGGGACCAAGATCTGATTATAGAAATTGGCAATTGTTGTCAAATTTGGATACAATACACTATATTTTGACAGTTCCATAAGATATTGTCAGTAGAAAAATGCTGAAATACCTCCAAGGTCTTCACTCAATGAGCTACCTTCACAGATATGCTTTTCTATTAGTGCTTCCTTTGACTGAATGTTGTCATTAAAGTTTTTATTAGTTGTTTCTTCCCATATCATCTAAAGTAAGGCAGCTATTGTACATCCCCACAAGGTGAATGTCAAAAAAAAATGATCAGTAATGGCTAGATTATTGCTTAATGAAAAAAAAGAATGACAATTGTACAAGGATGTGCCTAACACCCCTTAAAATGGGTTATTCCTGCTACTCATCATCATTTTCATTTTGTTTCAAATAATCACAAACTTCCCCCTTGGGAAATCCCCACCCCCCGATAAATTTGTTTTCTATTAGCTTGTCTTGTCAGCATGTCCGCCAAACCTATTGGCTGATTTATTGATAGGAATCGATCAGCACCCTTGAAGACTTGTTCTAGAAAGAAGGCCTTACAACAGGTCCTGATATGGCATAAAGATGGTCTTTGGATTTGGACTGAATTGGACATCAAGGGTATTTTTGTTTACAATTTTTCTGTAGGGTACAATAGTAGGGTTTGGTTGTCTTTAAGATTCCATTAATTGTTTCTTCCCATATCATCTAAAGTAAGGCATCTCTTGTACATCCCCACAAGGTGTGTCAAAAAAGTGATTCTTTAAGTAACCCCCCCCCCCTTTGAAATACAAGGAGTTACTGCTGCATTATTGTTTTTGCACAAAACAGACATTAGTAATAGTTGTCAAAGTCATATAAGTGGGTGGCTAGTCGACAAGGAACTCTTGTTGGGTTGCCTTGGATGGACTCCTGGACATATATAATATCAACTTGAGGATTCGAAGGGAAAACACATAAAAGACGAAGGATTGTTAATCACTGAAGGTTTAATAAGGAAACAGATATCAAGAAATTTAGCTTCTCTAGCCTATGTGCCTCTAGCCTCTCCCTCCCCCTTCCCCCCCCCACCCCAACTCCTCTCTCATCTGCCTATGTAAACAGAAACAGGTTCCCCCATTGCAAACGAAAACAGGGGCTCTGCCCCCTTCATATCTGTCTATGAGGTTCATATATTTTGATTCTTTGAGATATTCTGCGGCTTCTGTCATTTGTAATGATTTCACTGATACTTCTCTTTGTAGCCAATTATATTAAAGAAATTATTGTCACAGTCTCTATGGAAAACTGAAAAGCATTTCTTGCAGGTGATTGATGATGAAGTGTGCTTGATATGAAAATTACTGTTGTTTGGTTATTGGTGAAACCATTGATAATTTTTTAATCTTGATTCTTGCTTGTTGCTGTTTAAACTAGGGACATAACACGAAAAATCTTCGCCTTTTTATCAAAATTGTTCTATACACGGACCTAAGCACCTATGCACAATACTTTCATAGATTGATCTGTAAAGGGATAAAAAAAGAAAGAAACCATGTACACAACAATCTGTGCACTGGGACTGTATAGTCATTAACTATTAGCCTATAAAAAGATTCTGTACATTGTGACTGTACAATCAGTAAAAATAGTGATTTTAGAGAGGGAAGAAGCCTACACTTCAAGGATGTATCAGGCAGTGCAGAGAGAGAGAGAGAGAGATGTACCTTCTTTATTCCAATTAAATTTAGTCTATCGTCACTTCCAATAGCAATGACAGCATCAACAACCATGGATGCAAAAAACTCCTTTTCACCACCAATGAGCTTTGAGGAGAGTGTAGTAGCTGCACATTTGGCCAATAAGCTTTTCTTTTCTTCCAGGCTTTTTCCCTCTATACTTGCAGCAAGTTCTTTGACCTTGTTCATTGCCTGTTACAAATATTGCAAAGCTCAATACAAAGTCAGCAGTTTAGCTTGAAAATGCACTTGGTCAAGGAAGAGCAAACACTGGTATACCAGAGAGGATGCAGTCCTGTAACTCCTTATGAGATTCTGAGGGTGAACTCCATCCTCAATAAACGGTTTGGCCTCTTTTAGAAACTCCCCTGCAAGAAGGACCACTGTAGTGGTTCCATCACCTACCTGCATACAAACCAAAGGTTGAACGCTTCAACCCCATACTTTCTCTTTACCAAAACAAATCCCATAGGTTCGTGCATTGTCATTCATAACATTGACAAGTGAGAACCGCCCTTAGAGGCGTTGGCACAACGTGATGAACCCCATGGAGCTAGGTTGCACCAGTAGAACGTGCTTCAAGTAAGCCAACAGTTTGTCATAGACCTTACGACGGACCAGGTTAGCATTAAAGTCGTATCTCTCCGTAGAGGAAAGAGCAATCATATGTAACCCAAGCTCAGAAAAACTTGCAGTAGCCTAATATGAGATACCCAACTTGAACAACGAATAATCATGATGGTAGTAATAAACAACTGGAAGAAATCCATCTCAACAAATGAGCCTATAATAGCCAATCGACCTAAGAACAATAGTAACTGTAAACACTCCAGGTGTTTGAAAATGAACAATTAGGGGTTTTCTTAGTGATTATACCTCTGAGTCTTGAGATCTGGCGATATCGACGAGAATCTTCGCGGCTGGATGAACGATGTCAAGCAGTTTCATGATGGTTGCTCCATCATTAGAAATGGTAGTGTTACCTTTGTCATCGTGGATCAGTTTATCCATCCCTCTCGGACCCAGCGTAGTTCGCACCACGTCCGCCACCACCATGCACGCATTGATGTTGCTCACCAGTTGTGGCTTCCCTTGCGACGTATCCGTCCCTTCCTTCAACAGTATGATCTGGGGTTGCTGTTTATTCCGAAACAACACAAACACCAACATACATAAGCACAGAGAAATACAAACATAAAAATCAGAGACGAATATTTAGAATCTGAAGTTGAAATCCACGCAGAACATATTCTTCTCCCTCATTTTAGAGAAAAATGCGAGATATGTAGAAGGTGGAGATTACCAGCATCGCCGCCATTGAAACTGGAGCTTGGGATCGAATACCAGAGAGCAAGTTGTAGGGTTAGGGGTTTCCAGTTGCAGAGCCTCAGCCGTAAGTGTGGAAATGTGAATTCAGAGGTTTTATTGGGGTTTCTTTGAGCTTTTGGGAAGCGCTATTGCCACTACCTCGCTTTTTGCTCAGACCACTCCCCTTCCCCTCCCACTTCTACGAAGATCATTGGACTAAACTACCCTCCAGCTCATATCTCACTCTCAGGTCGCAAACTTCCAATTAATTCCAAATTAATCTTTTTAATTAGATCATTAACTAAAACACCCCTGTAGTTTCACAATTTATTAAAATCTACCATATAGTTTGTATTTACTAAAACATCCCCTTAATTTGAAATCAATTTACTTGATCGACCTTCTACTATATGAAAGTGGAAAATGACAGTTTTAACCTTAACATCTTTCAAATAGATTTAATCAAAAGAAAATAAAAACAAAAATACCACTTTTGCCCCTAATAAACACAAACAAGCACTCTATTTTTCTCTATTTGGTCATTTTTTTCTATAGAAAAAAGTGTTAGAGGTACTTTTGGAATAAACAACTATGGATCCTGATGGGGTGGATATGGCCCTACAAGATTCGAACACGTGGTGGCCATCAAGGCTTACCTCGGAGAGCTAACGTCACCTCATAGCCACGAGGTCTACCTCAGGCGGCAAGAACCACATTACCTCAGTTTGTTGGTGACAAGTTGGGGACTTGACAAGCTACTTTAGTAAGACCAACGAGACACTAGGTAATGGCCCAATGTTTGACTCGAAAGATTGGCATGCAACCTAAGCTCTTAGCACGAGGAAGCACGACCTCTCCAACCGAGCTACTCCAATGGATGCATGGCCAAGCTCCACCACGTGTACATCATAAGGCCACCTAGTGGCCCATCAAGCAGGACTACCATCGTTGTCTGCCACATCTAGCAACTCCACCTGGTAGGGCCATTATCGTCATCAGGCCATCAATCAATGTCTAGTAAGAGCCCTCAACACGCATGCCTGGCATGTCAATCAGTGAGCTCTTGAGGCCTCACCATGCAAAAGTAGTGTGGCATCATAGAAATAGCTTGTGTCTTGACCAAGCTCTAGGTGTTTTACTTCGAGCAGCACGTGTCCTTTAGAGAGCTCCAGGTGTCCCATGCCACTCCGACACGTCTCATTTGGCACAAGCGTCCTTTAACTATATAAAGGTTAGTTGAACATTCATTAAGGACTTTTTGGCCTCATTTATTGCTCAGTCCTCAGACAATTTAACTTTTCTAACTTTATCGTTAGAGATCTAAGCCTGGGATCTCACCTCGGGCCCTCTAACCTCCTTTTCCCTTGCAGGTGTCTTCTAAGTTGCCCCTATGACCTCAGCGGCTTTGATCTTTATCAATTGGCATCATCTGTGGGAACTAAAATGAAAGGTCATCCCATCCACAAACCATCCTTCTACCAACATGTTTCAATCCCACCTTGCTTCTCATCATTCGCTAGGGGAGACTTCAAGGAGCCTTCCTTGGCGTTCTTTGTCCCAGAGGAGTCTCAAGGGAGTGTCCCGATGAGAATTTGAAGACCTGGCCCAGATAGTCCGCGATATGAACCTCCGAGTGCACGTGCATGATGAGTTGATAAAAGCCATGAGGGAAGTGGCACGAGACGCCATGTTGGAGACCACGGTGTGGCAACCCCTAGCACAGAGGAATCTCTTTCCATGGTAAGAGCTTCTCACCCAGCATGTCTAGCAAACACAACAACAGAATTAGTCTATCCCATCAGCCCAGTAAGTGCTACCAGTCGTACCACAAGATCAGTAACAAGTCCCTCCTACGTCTTTTCATAAGGTGGAGTTCCCTAAAGACCGAGTCCCTTTCTCATCACGACCCGCATTGGAGCAAACATCACGACCGCCAACTTAAGGAGAGAAGTCAACACGAGACGGCGCACCAACGACTTGCGGTATCCGCCTAAGGTTCGTATGTCACGAGGGAGGTGAGCAGATCAAACTTATCCCCTAGAACGGATCACTTTGGGGCATCAAAAGCTCGTAGAAGACGATGACACTGGTCACGTGTTGAAGACTGGGCAGAACAGCGAAAACGCCATAGTGAGAGACATAACTCTGTTGCCCAAGAAGTTGTAAGTAGACATACCTCGGGTGTGCCCAATCTAGCCTGGGCATCACCTCTCTTTCAAGACATTTTGTTAGAACCTTAGGCACTAGTGTTTAAGACCCCGACATTTGAGATCTATGATGGGACCACAAATCCGATGGATCATGTGGAAAGCTTCCAAGCATTAATGTTGTTCCACAGTACCTTGGAAACTAGCATACATTTAGCCTTTCCAACTGCTTTCCGGAAAGCAGTCTTACTCTTGTATTTTGGGCTCCCACCTAACTCCATGGTGAACTAGGCCTAGTTCATTGATTTTTTACGACTCATTTCACTACTAACCACAGGTGCTAGAAGACTCATTTCGCTAAAGCCTAGCAAGAGCCTCAGAGATTATGTGCAGAGGTTCAAATCTAAGGCTCTCAAAGTCAAGGACCTCGATCCTGTAGTGGAGGTGGCAGCAACGATCTACGATGTCAAGGATAGACACTTTAGGTTCTCCTTAGTGAAGACACCCCCTTGCAACATGAAAGAATTCCTCTGAAGGGCTAAAAAGTATATGAACATCGAGGAAGAGTTTCAAATGTGGTAGAACTGAGGTGACAAGAAGAAGATGAAGCGAGATGGTGAAGATTGAGAAGACCACAAAAAGACAAGAGGTGGGGAGTCGTCATCACGATCCCGAACTCCACCCAGGAAGTTTGAGTCATACACTCCATTGAACGTCACATGAGGTGAGATCTTGATGTAGGTGAAAAGCAAGGACTACTTCAAGTGGCCACCCCACTTAAAAGGGAACCCTACCAAGAGAGACTAGAAGAAGTATTGTAAGCTCCACATGATAGTCGGTCATGACATAGAAACTATTGCACCCTGAAGAACTAGATAGAAGAGTTGATCCAATGAGGTCACCTGAAGTAGTATGTAAAAGACTGACTTGCAAAGCACTAGAGGTAGGACGATGACATGAAAGAGGTGCCAAAAGGGCTAGCAGGCATCACCAATGTGATTGTGGATGGTTCAGTAATTGTGGGGTGCAGTCACACTACTAAGAGAACTTTGGTTACGGAGTTGTGGACTAACTTAGGAGGCCGACCCACAAAGAAGACAAAGGTCGAAGAACCCATAGTGTTCACTAATGACAACTTGAGGGACATTAGATTGCTCCATGATGACAATAGCTAACTACATGGTAAAGCATATCCTTATAGACTCTAAAAGTTCAACTAGCATCCTATTTGTTGCAACCTTTGAGCAGATGAAGTTGGATAAGAAGAAGCTCATCCTAACTAACATACCACTTGTTTGGTTCTCAGGGGATGTCGTGAGACCCATTGGGGAAGATATGCTTGTAAATTAAAAGATCGGGTTCATTAAAAAATTGGCAAAATCCCAACCCGAAATGGCCCATGAATAGGTCTAAGTGTTCCATTGAATTAACAACCATGCAAATGTGCTTAATCTCATGCCCACTGAACTTTAAAAGAATAGCCTTGCAGTCATCCACGAGCAAACGGATATGCCACACTACAAAAAAAAATGACTTTTAATAGTAGTCAAAATTGATGCTAAAAGTAAAAAAAAAAATGTCATTAAAACCTTTACCAATAATTGGCAAACTACTACTAAAGCATATAGCAGTCGTTGTAGCAACTATCGATAAAGAGTAGAAAACTACCGCTAGAAATAAAAATTTAGAGACAATTAATATCTTTTAGCAGTAGTGGCAATTGTTGCTAAAGGGGTAGACCAATTGCCTTTATAGGTGTATAGTGACAACCACAATTTTTTTTTTAGCGATAGTTGTAACTAATACTAAATCTCTATTTTTTTTTACACCTGCCAAAATAATTTGGGATTTGTTAAAAATAACCTATAGTTTAATTATAATTGGTTACAAATATCAATTATTAAATAAACTTGTAATTTTGTTCATCCAAATTAAAATTAAATACAAAATGACTTGTTTATGTTGTTGACAACCTTTGGACCTTTACTCTTATAGGGAGAAAGAATGAAAATATATTTTAATTAATGCACATGCACAATATACTACAATCTTCAAACTCTCATCCTCTTCTCATCTTGTGCCTCAATAACATTAAAACATACATATTATAACCTTGGTGCATGGTAAACCTTTGAGCGGATGTATGTAGAGGTAGTTACAGAACTATGGTCACTACATTAGAATGCCATGCATAAAGGAATGCTTCATATGCATGCGTGTCAATTCAAACAACAAGCATTAACTCACCATTTGTTCATAGGAACTTCAAACTCAGATGCTAAACATGAATTTATAATTAGTTGATCATGTGTAAAGGTTTTTAGGCTACTTTAGGTTCTTTTGCTGGAAGCAAAGGAATCATGTTCTCATTTTCTTCTTCTTTCACTTGTTTTTAAAGCTTCTCTACGATTGAATTCAAAATTATGCAAATCTTCTTGGATTACTTGATTATGTGTCAAAACATGGTTTCTAGTCTGTTGATATTAAAATGAGAAAAAAATCAAAAACTTCTAGCTTAGAAATTCTATTAACACTAGAAACTTGTGAATCATGATAGAAGTTAAATGTTTCCATATAGATCAAATCATGGAGGAAATATATGATTAAACTTATTAGAGGAACATGAATCATTTTTGTCACTTGTAGAAAGTACATGGCAATATTTTTCAAGGTAAGTTGTCTAGAAGAAAACAATAGATCAACTAAAATAGGTAAAAAACAATAGTTTCATCTTCATTATGTGACAAAGTCCAACTAATTCTAAAATATAACAAAGAAGAAAAAGAAAAACTAACAAGAATAACCACTTACATCTTCACAAGGGTATCCTATTTGTGGCTAATCCAATACAACATGAGTAGTAAATAATAAACCCATTGTGCTTTCAAATATATTAAGAAGAGGAATTGTTTCCCCATAACCATATCAAGATCAAGCATTCAACAATGAATCATGTTATAATTAAAATAGTTGATTATCTTAAATAATTATGATCACAAAAATCCTACATGTGAA